TGCCACAACTACTTTAGCTCAGGATTTTCCTTCCACGTGCAGCCAAGTGGACAGCCTCTTCCTCCCACGTAAAATAAATGGAGTTGAGCATGTAAAGAAGAGAAAGCTCCTGGGCCAGATGGTTTCACTTTGCCTCCTGCCTGGACACCTCTCTGGTGCCATGGAAGGCAGACTGCTCATCCAGCCAGGGGCTAAGTGTCCCTGCAGCCCCAGGCTCTCCTGCTCACTTCTCCAGTGCCATGGAGAGCAGACTGCTCACCGGGTCAGTGCCTATGTGTCCCCGCAGCCCTGGGTTCTCCTGCTCGCTGCTGGATGCATGCTGTAGACCTGGGCTGCTGGATATGACAGCAATGCTCACCACCAAGGCCCGGGATCCTGTTCATTTGAATCAAATCATATCAGTTAAGGCAGTCATAGCTGGGTTAGAAACATGCTGATAACATGTCAGTTCATGATAGTAACTTCACCCTCCCCCAGCTAACTCCAAGAATAAGGGGACTTTGAGCAGGAAGGACAGGCTTAAAGGAATATATTTTGTATCTTGGAAAAAAATTGCTTTTTAATTTGTGATCACTTTCTGGACCTACCTTGGTATAATATTGTAGAGACCCAACACTGGGTGCTCACTGGTTCTGCTTTGGATTCAGTCCTTTTCAGAGACCTCTGGCAATAGTTATGCTGGCTAAGGACACATCTCAAACTATTTGCATGTCCATTGCCACAAAGTGATGCTGTGAAATATGCATCCAATATAGAAAATATAACTTTAGCTCTTTTAGCACAACTAGAAAAAATTGTGTCCATATTTCAATACTTCATAAGCTGGGGGAAATTACATTATACAGTTTCTCAGCTGTCACGTACATGTTTCTTCTCTCAGTAAAAACTCAGATCAATGCAGATAAACACTGATATTTAAAAATACCAAGTACTTCAAACTGGCAAAGGCACCTTTCAGATTCAGAACTTGCTCAAATGAGCAGTGTTTGTTGGGAGGACATGGCGTATCACTGTCAGCCTTTTGTGGAACATGGTACAAGTCAGTGTCTTGTACGCTCGGGTGGAGATAAACAAGGTGTCTCCCTGGCTGTGTTAGCCAAGTAATCTCATTTTCATTCTTTCCAGGGCGTGGAGTCACCTGCCCGAGTCAATCTGAGCTTGCAAACAGAGCGAACTCCTGGCTTAGAACTGACTGGGCAGAGAGATCATTTAATATCCCAGTGCCCAGGGCTTTGGGCTTTTTTACGTAACCATAAAGAGCTTCTCATTGCAGTGGCAGTACTTAAAGCTAAAGTAATCCGTGCTAACATACGGATTGGAAAGGATTTGTTGAGCCACTGATTCCACTTCCAGGCAGTTTTTCATATCACCTCTTAACAAGATCCAGAAATTTTGACCAGCTGTTCCTCCCCAGGCCCATGCTCATTAATGATACCATCTTTTTGCATGTTTTCTCCATGAGTCTAGACAGTCTAAAGTACAGGAAGGTTTTCAAACACTAGAGGCAAAACTTAAGTGATTTTCAAAAAACAACTCTGTACATCTTCAGGTACTGTTGAGATAGCAAAGGATTGCTCTAAAGCTGCACCGAATGGCAGGATGGTTGTAAGAGATGACTGCATAACCCTTTTTGGGTAACAGCTGTGGTATTTAGAAATCTATCCAAACCAAAATGCATTTTCTTTCTTTTGTCTCCCCCAATTTATAACCAATTCCAGCAATCCCACAAGATGGCCCAGATGCCTAGCCACCCCATGTATTGCCCAATATTGTTTGCTCTGAACACTCAGGGGGGCAGAACAAATATTTTAAACATCAGCAAACACAACTGTCATTTATTTTTAGCAGTATCATCAGGGTCAAATAAGTTCAAAGGTTAAAATACTTGCATTATGAAACAAGACCACTCCAGATGAGGACTGAAGAATTCTGACAGACAGTTGCACACTGCACTCAGCCTTGAAGTGCTTTTTAGTCAATCAGAAAACTTAAATTCACGGGGTTGAAAAATCTGTTATAGGCGTTAAGAAGCACACCAATACTGATTTGTTTAATCTGTGCTAGGGGTGTTGCACCTTCAAGTATGTTTGGTAAGAGCAAGCAAAACCTACAAGAGAAAAAAACCCAAGGAAAACAACATCCCCTTTTCAGCTTATCTCTAACTGCACTGGGTACCAATCAACTAGTTTCTCTGTGCAAGAACTAATAGCAGAAGTGCAATAGAAGGAACACTGTCTTATCACAGATGCAAGTTAACATTTATTATTACCATATCCAAAGTCCAGATTGTGTCCTGCATACTCTGCAAGCTCAGCAGACCAGACCTGAGTGCATGTGTGCCAGCTGGCCCCTGACCTCCTGCGTGTCGGACTTGCTTCAGCACATGGCTTTTCCCCTTCGCCAGCACAGCGAGGATCAGGATGTTGCTGGCCTTTCTTTGATCTAATACAGAGGAAACAGCAGCAACCCCCTGAACGGGTGTCAGAACAATCCCCTGTTTTGCAGCACTGCCCAGCCATCTGTTCCTCCATCAAGAGCACCTTATTGCAGACAGAGCAATGGTTCTGAAGTTATATTTTGTTTTGAAGATTGCTGCTTCCGTTTCAAATCTCAAGGCTGTATACCTTAATGGCTGTCTATTTTTACCACTTTATTAGTTTAATAAGAGCAATTACCTCTGCCTACAGATCTGTTTGTAGAGGTCCTTAAACAACCATTGCCCTAGCATCACTACTGCCAAAGGGTTATTTATGCAACCCAGGAGTCTCACGCTCCAGACCAGCAAGCACTATGCGGTCAGTAGGTCAACAGCATTTCAGACAGCCCAACCTCCTGTGCATTTACAGGCACTCACCCCCCAACAACCAGTCCCCCCAAGGCAGTTCAGTCTTTTTCAACACTCCCCCTGCAGTAATAGCACCCAGAGTTAGCAGCTGCTTCCATGTTGCTGCTTTTGTGTCAAACACTGTGCACTGACATCAGTACCTTTGCTTCTGCCCAAGCACCTTTTGTACAGTCTTACTTTGTAGCTCTTACTTCCACAACTTTAAATTTTCAGCTTCCGAGATGCACAGTTGACTGCTAAGGGCAGATTCATTGCCAAGGGGCAAGCTAGATACCAAAACCACGGACATTACTTTCCTAAGGAAGGTGAAGCTGCAAGCAGCAAGATGGTGTTACTGTGGTAAAAATAAAGAACCCAAGTAAAGACATCCAAGGCAGAGCTCTCAGTCACTTGTATACACTAGCAAAAAAGGATTATTTGCAAGTACAAGGCAACGTATAAAAGCCTGGCCAAGCCCAAGGTCTCTCTGAGATAAGCACTCTGTACATAGTGATGTTTTCCTTATGCCAGACAGGTATGAGAAAGAGCAGCACTGTAACAATTAGTTAAGTCTCACAGGGGAAATAAAGCTGAATGACGACTAAGATATAGAACTTGCTACTCCCACATGCTCTTTAGACAGAATCCCAATTCCAGTGCTTTAGCAGTCAGAAATTCTGAAAAGCCAGATAGGTGTTTTGACAGAAAGCAGGTTAGCAGAGCACGGCATGCTCACAGCACATCAGCTTCCAGCAAACAAGAGCAGAAGCGGAAGCATTTGCCAGCACAAGTTACACTCCGCTACAGCTGGCAGAATCCCCCAGGAATAACTGGCTTCACAAAATACACCTGTGAAGAAAGAGCTGGCTGTGGAATTGAGGGTTGGCAAAAAGCTAAAATAATCTCTTATGCTGAACATCTGCTCTTACCCCTCTTTGCAAGGGGAATGTCATCAACACAATCTCAAATAACTAACAGAGGATATGACAGGAGGGAAAAAAACTCCAAATGCTTACATTACTTAGCCAGAACAATAAGCAATGTTTTTCTTTATGAGAACAGGGAACAAACCCTTCTTTATCCTAGCACATTTTAAAGAGTGAACAACTAGCTCCAAAAGCATTTCCCATTAAAAGTAGCCAAGGGGGAAAATAATAATTTTTGAAAGCATGTGAAAAAATCACTTTCATCTCTTATCAGTGGTGTAGAAAAATACACATTAGACACACAGGGTTTGCTGTAGTAAGCTAATACAGCACTATGAATTTACCCAGACAGATAGGTAACAATAGGTTTAATCCCTATGTATTTCTCTAAATCAATTGCTTTTCTGAAGGCAGTTTGACTTTTAAGTCCTCACATGTTCAGATGCTAACCAGTACAGCGGGAATTAGAATGCCTTATTCCCATATAAGGTTGCGGCTTCATTCTCATATGGTCTATGCTGAAATAGTTCAGTGTCATATTTTAAAAGCAAAATCTCCTCTCCCAGCTTTAGCAACTCCAACAGACTACTAGGCAGACCAGAACAGATAAAAGCTTACTAGAGATGGTCACAACCATAGGTTTCATATGAAACTTTTGCTGATCATCACTGTAAGCCTTTCCATTTGAAAGCCTTGTAAGCATTAAGCCAATTTATACTTGATTCACCCCACTTTAGCATCAGTAAATGGCAACACCAGTGGTCTGTATTTACAGTGGTACAGTATCAAGGGCACTAACAGCTCCACTGTCTGCAGAACCTTTTCTTCGACAGGTAAGGTTTTGGGTTCAGCTGCTGAGTATAATAACAATAACAACCCTGATGTTGTTATTGTTGGGGAATAACATATATAAGAAGTGTTTTATGAAAAATGATTTTGCAATTGTTAACTAAGTCTCCGAAAGCCACAGGCAAAAATATCACGTGCCTTGTTGATGGTATACTCAGCATTAGACCTAGCCTCTTCATGGTAATATTTGTGGTGCAAGAAAGGAGGCAAAGCAGTCAGACAGACCAGTTTGGTTTGTACACAAGTCTGCATTGTACAAAACACAGATTGCTGAGCCCCCTCTAGCGGCACAACCACTGGAGAGGTTGGATCGCGCCTTATGCTGCAGTGTTTGACAGCTGCAACATGGCAATTAAGGGATGAGCTCAGAATAATCTCTCAGGGATAACCATCACAACAGCTAAAGTACCAAATGCACTTTAATGAGATCCAGATTTTGTTCCCAGAAGGAATTTATAATGCGTTAGTACATTAGACAGGTACACACCCTCCCCTGAACTACAGGCATGAGGAGAACTGACTATAACATACTCTGTATTTAAAATTATCTTCAGAAACCAGTTCTCTACAGTATTAGAAATAAGGCATGTTTCAGATGTGCAAGTGGCTGCTACATCCAGTCCTCAGATGCCATATTTGCCTTTTAGTTCTTCCACTTTTGCTATGTAAGCTTTCATTGCGTCTTCTTTGGACATTCCTGAAGAACAGAACACAGGAAGCAGTCAGACACCATTTACATGCAAGTCCCAATTTCTTGTTACAGCACGTAGCATCACGCTACATGAGAAAGCAAAGAAACTAAGAAGGTCACAGGGCTGTGAATCTCCTATTAGAGTTTTAAACAAATGTGTTCAGCTGTCATGAGAAAACAGTATTTCAAAGCAAAGTTACACTTGCATAAGCAGTAACTAAACACCGTATTACTTCTATTAAGGTCATTCACAATTATTACAGGAAAGCTATTCAATCAACTTAGAGTGTATTTAGATGTAGCACTACAGTTCTCCTTTGTGCAACATCTCAGGCTCTGGGTATTTTGTACTTTTAACTCCCTTTCAGACAGGCTACATTCTTCAGCATTATTTCTGCCTTGCAGAGGTAAATCAAAAGTGAGAGTTTATTATCACAGCTTTCTGAACTCCTAGAACTCTTATCTTATAAGGTGACACTATTTTATTTCTTGTTGAACCAAATATGCTTTTCTGACTTGTGGTTTTATTTATTCATTCTTTGATTTTTTTTTTTTTTAAGCAGAGACTTACCTTTCAATGCGTTCCAGGCATCCCACTTTGCTTTGCCTTTGAAGTCCAGCATACCAGGGCGGTCTGACAGAGACAGGATAAGCACCAGAATTAGTTTGTGTGGTCTGGGTGTAGGTGATACCTACTCCTTTCCTGAAGGCTATTTAGCTCTTAACTATGATAAAATACAGTGGTTCACCTCTGCAGCTCTTGCTTAGTAACCTGTAGTTCAGAGATCACCTCTGATGCTGAAGGAAGCATGTTGGAATGCTATCAGTGGCCACAGAGGTATTCTTTGCCAAGATCCCTTAAGATAGCAGCATTTCAGCAGAAGAGGATCAAATAGTGTGATGTGGCTTTATCGTACTTTCTGAAGAGACTAGTCTTGCATGACAACTATCTGATTAAAGGACAGCTCTAAAGTAAAGCAGAAATGCCGTGAGGTCCATCACACAGAGACATGAAATAAAAAGCTAATAGCATACAGCTTAGAACTCATCATCATCAAGTTAATGGTATGTTTCTAACACACAGTTAATATGTTCTGCCATCTAGGGGTGTAAGCACTGAGTTCTAACTCACTTCATTACAGGCCACATTGTAGCCAAATAGAGAAGAAACGAATGAGATATGGATGTTTAGATGGTTATTTCTCACATAATTCCCCTCTGTGATTTCCCTTCTTCTCTGTTTCCTTAAAGACAATTCTTACGATTAACAAATGGTGCTGGACAGTAGCCCGTGAATTGGCCACAAAAATACCCTTGCCCTGCTCACATGGCAACATGACCTGCAGAGCTAGTTGGCAGCTCCACTTCTCTCCAACAAAAAAACCCTATTGGCTTACTCTTACACAGATTGTATTTTCTAGCCAACTCCTGTGAGCTACTGTTTCACAAGAATGCAGCGACTTACAGAAATGCTGGTATTCACAGCTCTATAGCACTGTTTCAACTTGGCAAACATTAATAATGCTAAGGTCCAGCCACACAAAAGGATCAGTGCTGTCTGTCTTGGGCAAAAAGAAATCGCAAGCGCTCATTTCCTGTACACTTCACTGCCAGCTTTGAATTCAATCAACTCTCAAACTTCACCAGCAACTCGGTCAGGAGGCCAGCGCTCCAAACAAATGACCTTTTTCCTTTCTAATTCTAGTTACTCAAGTGCTAGACAAGGTCACTAGAGACAGGCTTCATTCTAAACGTTATTCCTAGTCGGAGCTGACAGTGACAGAAATGTAGCAACAGAAGTATCAGGAGACATTTTGCATAGTGTACCTGCAGAGATATTTCTGCTGCAGCCCTTCCAAGATGTGATATTTAATTGCAGCTCTTGTTTCTCTTGTCACAAACATCCGCAACATTTTCTTCTGTTTTAGCTTTCCAATACTATTTTTAGCAGCCAATCCAGTTTTAACAAACTCCCCCCCCACCAACAAGTATTGCTACTCCACACTTGCATAGTTTGCCTTGCTGTTAAATCCCATTTAACTAAGAAGCATTTGCATTAAAGCTGCATCCCTTGACCTAGGCAGCTACTTACTGATAGAAGTCTCCAAAAATCCCAAAGCCAATATTTGCACAAAGCTAACACAAAGGATTCTCCGACCGCTGCTATACGATTTAGACAACTGCAGCTGGGTTAATCTAAAAACCACAAGTTGCACAAGCCCTTATCAGGTCAGTTTCTGTTCGCCTGCATATAAATCCGTGCCAAGTCGGTACTGAGTCATTTCAGCTACACCACGGGATCGCACGAAGCGAGGCACACACCAAGGGAGAGAGAGGTTTTGCCTTCCCGAGTGCCTCCAGCTCGGCCTCATGCCGCAACCGCACTGGGGGCGCCCAGGCACAGAAGCGCTGGTTCCAAGAAGGGCGCAGGGCGGCGCTGCCCAGCCGCCTCCCCGCCCGGCTGGGGGGCGAGGCGGTACCTACCCGTGTTCACATCGCCCACCGTGACCTGCTTGTAGTGGCTGTAGATATCGAGCATCTCCTGGTCCGTAGGCTGGGACCTGAGCTGCTTTACCTCCTCGGCGGCTTTCTGAAACGCGGCCTGGAGGGGGAGAAGGTGTCGGGATGGAGATGACCACCCGCAGGCTGCCACCCCCACGCGAGGGGGAGAGGGCGGTACC